TTCTGCTGCGCTGGTCTCCTGTTTTTACTTAGTGTTCTCTTGGTGGTCTCCTGGCCATGGTCGTTGTCGTCATAGTCGGCGTGGTCGTCCATGCTGAATGGCAACATGGCACAAATGCTGGAAAAAACATATAGCAACTAGTTAACTAGTTGCGGGCCGTGTTTTCCCAAGCAATGCAGGCCTCTTCGCATGCGCCACTGGTGATACTGGCATGCTTTTGCTGTGGTCATTCACGCCTTCGGGCTTCGATCTTCAAGCAAGGTCTGCGAGCTTATATCTTAAACACGCACCTTTATTTGGCGATCCCGGTTCATCATATGTCTCATGCCCCCTCATTTGGCGATTCCGGATTCATCACATGTGTAGTTCGTCTTCTCCAATTTTCTCTTCGTGTAATGATCTCTTCGTGCTCTTCGTCTCCTACGATCTCTACGTCTGGGTCGTGGCGGAGCTCTTCAGGATGTCCAGTAACTTTGTTTCTCGAAGTGTGAATCAATCTCTCTGCTTTGGGCGCCCTCCGCTTGTTGTATGGCTTTCTTTGGTCGCTGTCCGTGCGATATCCCATTGCTCTCCGCATTTCTTACCTTTCCCGGATTCCTGCTTTACTGCTAAACGACTTATGTACACACGGCGTCCTGCCCTTGGACATTGAAACCCTAGTATGCGGAGTATCACATCACTTGTCTAAACAACAATCCACTGACTGGCACTAAGCGAAACTAGATACTCAACTGACTGGCGTTGCGGGGGCATGCTGCTGGAAGCAGTACCCATGTCAAATACAATCCTGCAGAAGAAGACGTGGATCCTCGAGCCAATACTCTTTTGCATGTGAATGCCTCCCGAGGAAAAGTCAAATCAATGGATGTTTCCGCCATTGCAAGACATTGATTGCCATCGCAAGCCTAAGCACGCCTCGAAGCCTTCTGAACTCCGAAGGGCTAAGTCAAACGGGGGAGGTTCATGGGTAGTCATAAGTGGGGTTATAAGTCCGCCAATATGGGTTATAACTATAGTTACCCTAGTTATAACCCCACTTATAACTACCCATGAACCTCCAAGTACTGCCACTCATGCACTTGGGTTTCTATACTACCTTCTCCCCGGACCGCCGTGGGCGTTGTGCATCGGGCCGGCTTCGGCACTGGAACTTCGATCTTCCAAAGATGGAAGAGTGAAGTGACGGCTTAGGGTTTACCTGGACCCCAATTAACCTCCCTTTTTAGGGTTCCCGTTTCTTTATATAAGTCCTCAAAAAGGCAGGGTCCTTGGGGTTTCAGTAGGGTTTAGGGTTTTGGAAGAAACAACAGGCTGAGAATGGCCCAATGTGAAAATGCCACAGCCACGTTCACAGCGGGTTTGGGTCTATAGGAGCATATTTGGGCTGCTTATGGAGTATAGGTGGTAGTATTGCATAGTTGTAGAGCGACTCGTAGGGATGTTGCGGCTGACTAGTCCCGCACGCCCCTAGAACCAAAATCAAAGCTCTATGCTTAACAGCTGATTTTTCGGATAGCAAACATGATTCCAAGAGCACTGAAGTAGTAAGATCATGTGCAGAAAAATTGCCAGATCGCCGAAATTGCCCCGAAATCGGACTCGGGATTCGGGTTTCCTGGAACCCTTCACAAAACCCCAGGTCCTAAGCCCGAAACGCAAATCTTCAACCCCAACACCGGAAGACCGTTAATCCTGGCAAACCAAACACCCCAAGCCACGTGGGTTTGTTGATTGCCAGCGGCCCACCAAACTTCAAAAGCCCTAATACAGGGGCCTTAATTATTAGAACAGGGCTTCGGGCTCCCTTATAGTTTACAGTATACTTACAATCAGAAACCCTAAGGAATTAGAAAAAACTTAGAGGCCTCTTGGTTAACCAAGAAATCCCTCATCTTAGATCCTCATCTGTCCTTCAAGCATGTAGCAGCAACAACCGTGGAAATACTGACCATATAAAGACTGGCAACAGATCCCCTTATAATGCACATGACAGTTAGCATAAGGATAGTGACCTTAATGGTGGTCATATATCCCCTAAACCCTTGAGGTCTTCCTGACTGAAGAGCCAAGGGCTGCAAGCTCTCTGAAGGGGGGGGGGGGGTTGAGGAGTTTGGGGCTGAGAGGGCGTAGGGCTGGATCAGGGTTTAGGGTCTAGGGTTTAGGGTTTAGGATTTAGGGTTTAGGGTTCCGGGAGGATCTGGGAGAACTTGATAAAGGCTTGAGGGTCGTCTCAACTGGCGCTGGGAGGGGGGGGAGTGCCGAAATCTGCGGACTTTCGAGCATGACACTTTGTACTTAGAAGGTTCATGCAATTCAGTGAGTGCTGAGTAGATCACAAAGTAGACAGTCGACCCGAAGCTGCACTTACAATTGTGCTCACATAAAGCTGCAGGCTGGAAAGGCTCAGGGCTTTGGGGTCAAACGATCAAAAAAAGCTCATAAAGCCAGACGCCTTAAACCTAAAAACTGCCTTATCCACCCCTGGTAAGACTCATCTAACCACAGGTAAAGCACTCCAGCCCCAAAAGCCTTAAGCCCCCAACGAACGAGTAGTATCGGTATTTGCTCATATCCCATGCGTGGGAAACCCCAAACTCCAAACCCTGAAGCCTCAGCCCAACCGTAAACCTTAAACCCATCCTAAGCCTTCATACTTAAGCCCCGAAAAAGGCTAAACCCTAAACCCTAAACGGGCACCTTGTCCACTGGGGCCACCGGGTCCAGGAGTAGCTGCCACTGCTCCTCCAAACCGAGATCTTCGGTTTGTCGCGGTCAGGATTCGGGCTCCTTTCAAGGGTTTAGGGTTTAGNNTAGGGTTTAGGGTTCCTTGAGGGGCTCCCTGTGGGGCTTGGGATGAGGATTCCTTCGTGGAGGCCTCAAAAACAGGTGGGATGAAGGCATGAAGGATCAAGGATGCCTTGTAAAAGGACTCTTATTGGGGATTGCCCCACCTAGCTTCATCCCACCCTGGGCGGGCTTTGACTTTAAGAGTTCGTCTAAGAGTTCCCATCAGTTGCAAGGGTTCCCTGAAGGGTGTGGG